TATTCTTTGTTAAATACTGTTGTTTGTTATTTATTATTATGTGTTAAGAGTTCCAGTACAAAGTTATTAAGTTGTGTGAAATTAACACAAGTCAACCCAAAAATTAATCACCACATTGATGTATTATTTAAAGTTTATGAGTTATATTTTAATATGTTTAACAAGATATAAAAAACAAAAGCTGGATAATTAATTGACTTTAAATTATTTGCTGTTACAACTTATGCCAGCCTATTTATCATTTTATCAATATTTTTTAGTGTTTTAGGTTGGGTGCAGCATAACTAAATTGTTATTGAATAGTTTAATTGTTTTAAAATTTTGTTTTATTAAAAAATTAATTGCATAAAAATATTTTTGTGCTTATGGTTTTGCTATCATTCAATCAGAATTACTTTTTCATTTCTAACTGTTTGTTAAATAAGAATGGTTTTTTTAAATGTTGTCCTTAGTGCAGTAAAAAAAAAAAAAAAACATGTTTTAAGACGTTATGTGTAAAACATTTTAATGTGCCTTATAATTTTTTTCCTTTTTTAGGTATTTTTTTTGGTAATTTTTAGATATGCAAAGGTAACTTTTATATTTTGTCAACTATATTTTTATGTATTACATTTACGTTCAGAACATTACAGGCATTATGACCAACTGCAAAGATTTTATTAATAAAATTAACAAAATCTTAGCAGTTGCAGTTTTTCTGATGTTTAACAAAATGTTAATTTTGTTAAACATCAGAAAAATGTTGTCAACTAACATCTGCAATGTCAAAAATAAAACAACGTTTGAACAATGCTGGTTGTTCAAACAACCAGATGTTGTTTTATTTTTGACATTGCATTGTTCAGATGTTGTATATATATATATATATATATATATATATATATATATATATATATATATATATATATATATATATATATATACATTTTATTTTTGATTAAAAATTTAATTTAAATCAACTTTGTCTCAGAAAATTCTGCATGTAGAATGTTCTTAGGCTGAGATGATTTAAAATAGAATTCAAATTTTTATTTCTTGGTGCACAAGGAATTAAAAAGAACATTAAGTTTTTATTAACAAATAAATAACAAAATAATGGGTACATAAATAGTTTAATTAGGCTTTTTTTCAAGAAATAAAATTATTTGACATTTTAGTTAGTTGGAGTTACTATTTTAGTTAGATGGAGTATTTATTTGATATTTTTACTATTTCTTTGACACTTTAGTTCAATTATACATGATAAATTATTTATTTGTTTATGGAAATTTTATGCTACTTTAAGTTCCTTGTGGAATTAGTTCCAGACAAGGTAATTATCTTCCTTATAATTTAGACAGACCTTAAAAATCATAATGTGTATCTATTAATATATGTACATATACGTATATAGTGGTACTTTTTATTTGAAGATTAGCATTTTACTTTTTTATAACTTGCTAGACAAAGAAAACAAAATCATAGCGTTTGTATTTTCAACATTGATGTTTTCTCTTTTACATTATAAATAATTTCATAAAAAGTACATTATAACATTATTTAGATTAATAAATCTTTGTAAAGGTAATATTTTGTTTTTTCTATACAATAATTTATTACAAAACTTCATATTCATAAATAATTTTAAATTATTCATTTTTTTAACTTTACTGATATAAATATGATTGTAGTTTAAAATTATTTTTTTATTGATATTATTCTGAAAAAACTTATTTATTTTTTCTGTTTTACCATTATGTAGTGTGCTATTATGTTTGAATGGTGTCGTGTAAAGTGGCTTGAAGAAGAAAAAGTTTACTCTAACACTGTTCCTTTAAGTTGGATTAATGGTAAAGTTTTAAGATGGCCAAAAAAAGGGGCTGAAAAAAAGTTAAGGGACCAGGTTGAACCTCAAGATGATTGGTTTAAATTTCAAGTTCTCAAAATTAAATTAACTGATAAAGATTTTATGACTTGCAATTTATATAATATTACAACTGATACTGACTCTTGTGATTTTGTTTAAAAAAAATATATGTTTCAAGTTGCAAAAAAAGGTAAAAAGTAATCTTTTGTGTTTGCATATTAATTTATATAGTATTCTGATATTTATTTTTTAAATTTTTTTGTTTATTTAATTATTTTTTGGAATTAATTTTTTTGAGTTAATTTTTTTAAATCAAATTTTTTTTTTATTGTATTAGTTATTTTTTAATTTTTTTTTTTAACAGTTTGCAGTATGCTTCCTCCAAAGCCTGAAATCAAATCAGGTTTTAGAAATAAAAAAACATTTCCCTCAGAATCAGAAAAAGAAAACCTAAATCTTTCACAAGAAGCTAGTCAGAATAAAATAAATATTGATTTGAATCAACCTACCCAGTCAGTATTTAGTTTTCAAAGTTCATCAAAATCCCATAATTCAAGGAAATCATGCTCTCGATCTTCCAATAGTTCACTATCTCCTCAGAGTAAAAGTAAAAGAAGACCAGATTACTGTTCTCTTTTACAATCAGAGAAAATTGAAACACAGAGTGAACTCTCTTGAGGATTACCAAAAAGTAAAGAACATTTTACTCTGGCTATTAACAGAAATAACTTTGCAATGAGTGATCAAAGCGTGTAGATTTTTTTTTCAGTATTTATGGATACTGAAAAAATATATTTTTATTTTTTATATAAGTCAGTTATTATAATTATTTTATGGAGGCATATTATATTTAAAAAGTATTACAATTAAAGATAAATTTTTATAAAAATTTACCCTGTAGTTTAATAAATTATGCTTTTGTTTTTTTTCTTTTATTTTTGTGTGTAGAATTCCAGTATGAAGTCATCGAGTTACTGTGTGAACTTAAAACATGTTTACAATGTCAACCCAAAAGTACATTTAAGTGTGGAAATTCCAACTCAATTCTTGACAGTAGAAGATTTGAATGAATTTGAATGAATTAATCAATTGCTTTTGCAACTAATGTCACCTTGTTTATAACCCATTTATTTTTAATCCAATAAGGTTGTAGCATTACTATAACTTAAGTATTATTAACTAATTAAATTGTTTAAAAATTTATTACACTTATATAAAATTTTTTATCTGAAATATTTCAATTAGGCTGATATTTTTTTGTATTTAAGGTTAAACAACTCTCACGTGTTGGTGGAAACCTAAATGTATGGTTAAGGACCTAATCCAAAGGTAATTTTTGTATTTTCAAAATTTGATTTTTATATGTTACATTTACTTCATATTACTATTAAGTTAGAAACAGCATAAATTACTAAATGATATCTTTTAGTTGTTTTATTTATTTTCATCTAAGATTAATGTCAAATGAGCTTCAGACAAAATTCAGCATGATTGGTTTAAAAGGAAAGCTTATGTTTAAAAAAACTTTGTTGTATAATGTAATAAATAGTAAGTTTGTTTATAGAATGTTTTTTTTTTTTTTTAATAACATTTTCCTAAATAGCATTAATGCTGTTACAATATCTGGCAGACGTGTATTTTAGACACCCTCCTTTAAAAAGTTCGTAAAAAACAAGTCATGTTTAACATATAACATTTATTGAAAATTATACTTTTACTCTGAAGCCAACAGTAAAGTTTATTTTATTGAAAGCCATGCCCTAATCAAACGCTGAGCCTAATCCTAAGAGTCATGTTTGGTTAGGGTATGGTTTTCAACAATATTTTTTTCATATAAGACTTTTTTACAGACTTAGTAATGTAAGTCTGTAAATAATAAAGGGTGCCTGAAATACACGTCTGCCCAATATATTATACTAATCTATCTTAATACTGCATCCTAATACTTTTTTTGTATAATTAATTATCTTAGAAGCAGTATTAAATGTCTTTCCGGATGCTACCAGCTCAGAAGTACCAATAGAAATGATGAACCATTTAAAATATGCTGCAGATCGTAAAAACCGGAAAACACTTCGGACAAGCAACAGTAATGATGTCATGTCTATCAGTTCGAATTTTGCAGAAGAAGCCAGTAAAACATAGTTTTTATATAAATTTTTCAGTAAGTGTTTTTTTTTATTTATGTGAATTTTAAAACTTAAGTTGTTAAACTTTAAAGATCTTTTAAATTAGTTTACCATATATTATTAAATCATGTGTCATTTTTTGATTATTGTTTTAATTAACATAAATATAATTCTGTTTTTAAAAGCTTTACTATTTGTTTTATTATTTGTGATGAATTATAAATAAATAATAATATTAATCAATATAAAAATTAAATCAATGGTTAAATAATGCTTCAAAATAATTTTTTACTTACAATTTTTTTAAGATTCTTATGATAAAAGTTTATTTCTAAAAAGTTACAAAAGCTTTATTTAAACTTTAACAGTTTGTATAATATTTTGTGTTTTTATACTAAATAGCAACATTTAATGATAAAATATTAATTATACAATATTATATAATTTTTATATAAATTAATTGTTATATATATATATATATATATATATATATATATATATATATATATATATATATATATATATATATATATAAATATATATATATATATATATATATATTCTTTTTTTTATAAGTATTATAGATAAGAAATACAAAGATATACAATGACATCAAGGTCTACAATATGGAGAAAGACTAATTCTTTGATTGCCAGTATATTAGAAAATAATAATTATCATAGTTCAACTGGTGAGTTTTTTTCTAGTCCAATTCATAATAGTATTGATACTTTTTAGAAAGTGATTCTACATTACCAATAACTGAACTCTCTTCAATAAGTGATGATTTTAGTAACTCTTTTGAGTTTTTTCATTCTAAACAATGTCCTGATTTGGCACATGATCTTGCTCAGTGGGCGGTTAAGCATGCAGTTACACATTTTTCATTAAATGATTTGCTTATTTTGTTGCAAAAACACGGACATGAGGACATCAAAAAATTCTAAAACTTTACTTAAAACGCCTAATTGTGTGCTTACTGAAAATATGTGCTCTGGTGACTATATCTACTGGTATAAAAAAATATGCTCCAAGTTGATGAAGCAAGTATCAGTAACGACATACATTTAATAGTAAATTTAGATGGTCTGCCGCTTTTTAAATCTAGCAATACTCAGCTTTGGCCTTTACTTTGTCAATTTGGTTCTAAACCTCCGTTTCCTGTTGCTTTTTTCTGTGACAAACAAAAATCTAACTCTTATATGGAGTTTCTCGGGCAGTTTTTGGAGAAATTCAAAATGCTTTCAGAAAATAGTCTTGTTTACAAAGATGATTTTTTTAATGTCAGAATAAAGTTTTGGACATGTGGTGCTCCGGCACGTGCTTTTATTAAATGTAAAAAGCCACACAATGCTTACCATGGTTGTGAACAATGTATTGACAAGGATTAATGGCAAGGAAGAGTTGTTTTTAATCGGATTAATTCTGTTCTTCATTCAGACGAACAATTTTCTAAAATGTATTATTATAAAGATCATCAACTATCTAAACGTCCTTTGATTGATTTTAATTTACCTTGTGTTTCTGCTTTTATTTTAGACTATATGCATTTAGTTTGCCTTGGGGTTGTTCGACGACTAATAATATTTTGGGCAGAGGGACCAAACATATGTTGTTTGTCATATGTCCAAATTAACCGCATAACTGAAAAATTAAATGACTTATCTGGTAAAATGCCATCTGATTTTGTCAGACAGCCTAGATCACTAGGAGAGTTTAAAAGATGGAAAGCTACAGAGTTTCGTTCATTTTTTATGTATACTGGTCCCTATGTATTAAAACATGATCTTTATATACATTTTCTTTGTCTTAGTATTGCTATTCGTGTGTTAGATGACAATAATTCTAGTTCTAATGCCATTGGCTATGCATCAATGCTGTTAAATTGGTTTGTATCTAAGTCTGTGGATTATTATGGTCCAACATTTACTACATATAATGTTTATAACCTGATTCATTTGTCTGAAGATGTTATAAAATTTCAAATGACCCTACTTGATGTCTGTCTTTTCGTTTGAAAATTATTTGCAGCGTCTGAAAAGATTGGTTCATGGTAAGAACATGCCACTTGCTCAAATTGTCAAGCGTTTAGGAGAAATAGATTGTTTAGATAATAAATTTTTGAGAAAAAAACACAAATCAAAAGTAGTCCCTGGTGGTAAAGATGGCTGGTTTTTTTTGAAAAGTGGTCAGTTGGCACAGGTTATTGAAATCAATTTCAATTCTTTACTTTGTGAAATAATTCCATGTCGGCTTTTTAATGACTTCTTTGTAGTACCATGCAGTTCAAGATATAACAAAATATTATCTGTGCCAAAAAATGCTTCTGTAAAAAGAAAAACTGTTCAAAAAACTGAACTCAAACGCAAAGTTATTAGTTTTAAGGGTAGAATAAGAAATGTTGTTTTCCCATTATGTCATGATTGTGAGTTTGGAATAAATTTTGTTTGTTTTTTAATTTAAAATTTTTTTTTATTGTCAGTTGCATTAGTTTTTGAATGCAGTTTGTTGAGAATCATATATGGTAAATATATTCCCTACTATTTCAACATTTATGTTGAATATATATTTAATAATGACATTTTGTTAAATTTTATTTAATTTTAGATATTATTCAATCGAAAATTAATTTTCATCCTAACAATTCATTAAAATCCTAATTGAAACATTCAAATTTGCAAAATTTTCAATTAGGATGTTAGAAGGTGTTTTATAAAAATTTGTTATTTTAAAAAAATTTATTTTGATAGTTATAACAGAAATTAAGTTAATTTTTTCCATTTCAAAGGATTTTGCTCAAAGATTTTCTGTCAATAATTTTTCAAATAAAAAAAAAACTCAGGTGAGCACGCACCAAATAACAAGTTAAATCAATTTCTGGTATTTACGTAGTTTTTTCTATTTGTTTTCTCTGAATGTTTTTCGTTTGTTAATAATGCTTTTAAATAAGTTTGTTTATAACTGTTTATTTATATGAATTTATCTCTTAATGTCAAACAAAGATTACAGGAATTAATTGAGATATGCTAGAAGTTTGGAAAGAATGTAAAAATCAAACTAGTTTTCACTCTAAGTTGTTGTATATAATTTTAAAATTTTGAAATAGAAGTATTGTAAAGTTTATTTTTCTTTTTTAGTCTTTTAATTTCCATATTCAATTAGTTGCCTGGACTAATATAATTGCCATCTATGAACTAAATAAATAAAAGAAAAAAAAACATCACACCACGATGTTATACAGTACAACATAGTGCTTTATTTCTCTTTGCAGTGTAGAAATAACATCGTGAAAATGTTAGAAATACATTGGTGATTGTTTTTCTTAAAAAGTTTGGCCAACGTCATTAAAATAACGTTAGCCTATGTTTTATTTTAGCCATTATTCCAACGTCTAAACAACGATAGAATAGACATTGTCTCAACGTCATTTCGCTCAAAATACAACGTTTGCCTAACGTCTTTATAACGTCTTTTTTCTTAAAATTTAACGTTGTTATAACGCCTTTCCGACGTCATTTAGCTCAAATGTAACGTTGTCACAACTTCATTTTACATCGTTGCAATAACGTCAGCAAAATGACGTCTTTCCGCTGTTTCATTTATAACATCATACCAACGTCTTTCCAACGATACATAAGACGTTGGAATAACGTTGTCCCAACGTCATTTTTCTTATTGGGATTAGAGTTACGTAATAAAAAAGATATCAGTTTCATCAAATTTAATGTTGAAACAAAATATGAAAAGAAAAATCGTCTTAGAGATCATATATTCGCATGGAACATGCAAGCTAGTTTTGCAATCAGTAGAAAATTTCTGTTTGAAAAAACTCAAATGTTCAACACTTTATAATCAATAAGTATAAATAAAGTTCTTCAACAGTAGTCTGGTAACATTGTATATAAACTTTATATTTGAGTATGCTTCAAGGCCAAGGACATTATATTTTATGAGAAACACATAGATTTCACCAGATAAATTTTATTTAAATTTTGAGACAAATGAAAATTGTCTTATTTAAACAGATAATGATACCGCTTAAATGCTCTGAAGAGAACTAAAATAAAATAAATAAAAAACGAGACTTGTACTGATATACTCATTTCTTTAAAATTTATTTTTTAAATCTGCTTGTTTTGATTTTAATTGTACTTGTCACTTTTTCAAAATCAGCATTTCAAATTGTTCATATTTCTGCTTATTTTGAGCATGTTTAGGGTTTCAAAATACGCATGCAGGCTGACTAAAGAAAATGTTAACTAAAAAATTTAACACTTTATTTATTTATTTATAAAAAAATTTATTATTACCCGACTAAATAGACTAAAAGTTGATTTAGTTGGGTAATAATATTTTTATCTAATTTTTATATATTTGATTTTTTCATTTAAATTAAGAGAGTTTAATCAAACGAAAAGATAAAAATATATAAAATAATAGATAAAAAGAAACTCTTGAGTCTTTGATACAAGGGAGTGTTGGAACATTTAAAAATTACCAAATCCCAAAATATAATTAAGTTTATTAAAATAGGAGAAACTTAGCTTTTTTTTTTAAACATCTACCTTAACATGTTTAAAAAAGTAATAATTTTAAGATGTTTCACTGATTGAAAATATTTTAAATTGAATATGTTTTTTTATTTCTTTAGCTATTTGGATTGTGTATCAGCTACCTGATCAGCAAACTAATTTATCAATACAGCTAACTTTAAATAGCTTGTACCTGAAAAAATGAGTTTTTTTACTTTTAAAATTAGCGAGTTGGAAAAAAAAGTGCAACACCTGGAGATCCCAGAATTATCAATTAACTTTGACTAGCTAATTGGTGAAGGCAGCGCAGCAAAAGTATATCAATCAACAATAAGAAAACAACAGTTAGCAGTGAAAGTTTTCAAGACACAGTTTTCAAAAAAAAGAGTTTTTACAGTCTGTGAAGAGCTTAGACAAATTCAGCATAAAAATATTGTTAACTTTATTGAATACAGTGTTCGACCATCAGCTCTGTGTTTTGAAATATGCTGTGTTCATGTTCATGACACTTTTGTCTATTCTCTAAAAGAATTAATAAATATTTTTAATGACAATGACTTCTTTAATTTAAATAAAAGTGTATCGTATTTAACACAAGCTTGCGAAGGAATAATGTATCTCGATGAAAAAAACATTATTCACGGAGACATTAAGCCCACCAACATGTTGGTCTGTGGTTCCATTCAAAATTTGATAATAAAAATATCAGATTTTGGCGACATGACAACAATAAAGAATACAGTTACATGCACTAGTAATAACTACTTAAAAGGAATAACAATTTGCTATGTAGCACCAGAGCTTTTACACCAAAATACAAAAAAACTTTCAGTGTTTACTGACATTTATGCTTTTTCTATTTCAAGTTTTGAAATTTTGTCAAACCTATGTTCACCATGGGAAAAAAACTTCCTATAATCAATGATGTTTTTCTCCTCCAAGCAATAAAAAACAATGAAAGACCAGATGCTTGTATACTCAATTTTCTTTACAATAACAATGAAAAAGATATTTAAAAAAATTAGGCTGAAAATCATTACCAGAAGAAAGATTATCAATGAAAAATGTAAATAAATGTTTTAATTTGTAACTATTGAAATATTTTTATCTGTTAAAGACTTTCAATAGACTTTCTAGACTAAGATTAAAAAAGAAAAATAGACTAAGATTAAAAAAGAAAAATAGATTAAGATTAAAAAAGAAAACCATTCCATTTCCTAAGAGTTGTACAATAAACTTTACAAAATAAGAACGTTATAATTAAGAATATGACATGAAATTATTATTCTAAAAGAAAATAAAAAAAAGTAACAAATAGTAAACTCTTGGGAAGCAATTAGGCTAATACTACTGTGATTTCACAGACATACTTGATTTGTGATCCCACAACAGTTAAAAATTGGAAACCTAAAATTCCTATAAGCACTAATACACATAATACAATTTATAGCATTTTAATAATAAAAAATAATCATATTATATTTTATATTAAAACTTAATTTAACTAATTAAAAAAATAACTTAAAAATATTAATATATAGGTTGCAAATAAATGTATTTAATATTTTAGCTGTTAAAAGCGTTTCATTCAATAGATGAAAAGAGAAGTGAATTAATCAGTGTAAGTACTTTTTGTTGAATTTGCTAAAAATTATAAAATAACTAAATAATAAAAGTAATAAATCTATGAATATAAAAACCATGGAATACTGACAAGGCGAAGTAAAAACTTAACACTATTTTTATTGCAGTAATTTATGTCATTCTATCCCATTAGGGTTGCTGTTTGGGCAGGTTATTGTGAGAGGGAAGACCACTCAACTAAAAACAAAACATTTCATACATCTGTATTAAAACTT